CTCCCCCCCCTCTCTCTCTCTCTCTCTCTCTCTCTCTCTCTCTCTCTCTCTCACACACACACACACACACACACACACACACACACACATATACACAGTCAATAAATAAACATAATTTTTTTAAATAAAGGGCTGGAGATGTGTTCATTTGGTAGAGTGCATGAAACCTCGGGTTCAACCCTTGCACTAAGTAAATCAAACACAGTGGCACACACCTGTAATCTCAGCATTTATGAGTCCTCTGTCTCAAAAAAAAACAATAATCTCCTGGAAACAACAGACTCACAAATGTGGCATTAATCTAAAGCAGAATCCCAAAATTGTTTATTAGATAGTCTGTGGCAATTAAAATGGTAACTACCAGCAATAACAACAATTTTTTTAAAGGCAGTCTTATTTCAAAACATTTGGAAGACAAAATTTGTTCCTACAACAAATAAATAAATATTTGGTGTGGTAGACATGTTAATTGCTCTTATTGGTTATTATGCATTACATACATGTATTGAAAACCACACTAAATTCCATAATTATGCATAGCTTTTATGTGTCAATTAAAAACAAAAAAAAATAATTTTTTTGGTTGTTTGAGACAGGGTTTCTCTGTGTAGCTTTGTAGACCAGGTTGGCCTCAAAGTCGTAGAGATCCACCTGCCTCTGCCTCCCGAGTGCTGGGATTAAAGGTGTGCACCACTACCACCCCACTTAAAATAAATTTATTTTTTTAAAATGGGTTTGGCCAAGATGATATGATTTCTCTTTTGAAAAGTATTCTTTAACAGCTAGATCCAAGAAATTCAGACATTGGTTTTTGCTACTGAAAAGGTCCTTCATGGAGCTGAGCATCACATTGATACCTCATGCTTATAACTCCAGCACTTGGGAAGCTAAGAAAAGAGAGTCTGAGACCAGCTGAGGATATGTAGTACATCCAGGCCAGCTTAGGCTCCATAGTGAGGCCCTATCTCAAATAAAAAGAAAAGAAAAAGTGTTTCACTGTACTCAGTGGGAAAGTGAGGCAAAGAGTGAACCATGCCACTGCACAGCTATGCCACCGAGTAACTAGTGTGTAGCTAAGCCCAGAAGTTAAGCAAGTCTGCCACATTCTGGATTTGGCCCCGTCGTAATCAGTATATCTACCGACACTGTTCAGACTTAGGAAAAGACCATTGATTCTGCAAAAAATCTATTTCTGCTAGAAGAAGGGGTGATGTACTCCATGACAGATCATGAAAGTATCTCAGCACAGCAAATATGAAAACATGAAAGCATTGAAATACCACACTGCCCACGTCCTGAGTGACAATGGTACAGAGTCTCTTTATAAAGTTGAAAATCACAAGACTGGTTGAACAGGAAGAGATTTTGCCTTGACACGGGTCATGGGAAAAGACAGGGAAGTAATATTTCTGGTAAATCCCACCAGGGACTTCAGGTTAGGCCCATAGAAATCTAGTTAAAGACGGTGTGCCTGAAGGCTTGATGGATGTTTGTCATCTGTCTAAAGAGAATGGAGTAGTCAACAGAGTGTCGGGGAGAAATGGGAACAATGGAGGAAAGTATCAGCTTAGCATCAAGACAGGAATAGCTCCTAGGAGAGTGGAGCACTGTCCCCCAGACTCTTGAAGAACTATCCCTTTGCACAAGATAATAGACAAGTCCGGTGAAGCCTGGGTAACTTTAGAGGTAAGGACAAAGAATCCTCCCCTAAAAGACCTCACTAGAACATTTGTTCTAAACCTTGCTGTTCAAAACCATGTGCTGCTGCTGTGTGAGGGATGAGGGATGAGGATGGTGGAAGGCTGGATGACCAAGTTGAGCCTGGCACATGCAAAAAGATGAGCAAACTCTAAGAGGGACGCTGAAGACACAGTTGGTTGGCTGTGCAGTTTAGCATGTGTTTTACCCCTTTTACATAACGTTCGTGATTGTCTTAGTTAGGGTTTGCTATTGCTGTGAAGAGACACCAAGACCACAGAATTCTTACAAGGAAAACATTTCATTGAGGGGGGCTGGCTTACAGTTTCAGAGGTTCTGTCCGTTATCATCATGAAAGGGAGCACGGCAGCATGCAGGCAGATGTGGTACTGGAGCTGAGAGTGCTGCATCTTGACTCAGAGGCAACAGGAAGTTGACTGTTTGTCACACTGAGGGAAGCTTGAGCAAAAGAGACCTCAAAGCGCACCCCCACAGTGACACACTTCCTCCAACAAGGCCACACCTCCTAATAGTGCCACTTCGTTTGGGGGCCCTTTTCTTTCAGATCACCACAATGATCTAATGAGGTAAGCATAACACATAGTCACAAGTTCAACAACAGCCTGTTCCGGCTTGAATCCCAACTCTACCCCTCATATACTGAGTGACCAGCCTGACCATAAACAAGTTAGCTAACCGCCCTGGCACTGTCTCTTAATATGTAGCATGAGGACAATATAACCGGTTACCCCATGAAGATGACATGAACTAACCCAGAGAAAACACTCCAGACACTGTCAAGTATGTAAGAAATGCACAGCAATATGTTTGTGATTTATTATGATCCCTTATGCAGTCCTGTTGTGCTCTGAAGAGCCCTAGTCATAAATTCTGGGTAAAGGGTTACAGTCACCTAAGCAGACTCATCACTAGATTTAGGGAGAGGCTTGAGTACCTTAGAGTTTCTGCATTTGCACAAGAACTGTAATGATAAGCAGGCGAGAAAGTTCGTTCAGGACTCACACAGTTTCCAGAACCAACTGTCTGCAGCAGATATTTCTGTCTACCTTAAAATACCATCTGCATTCCAGTTGCCACAACTAGCAAAGTCTGGGAGGTAGATCCTAGAATCTAGGGTGTAGCCTCTGCTGTGAACGAAGCAGGCTTCTCAGGCTCCTCTCCCAGATCCACAATCCGGATGGCGTTTTCTTTCTTAGACAGCCAGAAGGCAGCATAGACTGGCTCTGAGAACTTGCAGTCAAACTTGTGTATCAGAGTCATGGTGTCATACTCCACACCATAGAAGGAAAGGGTTCCTCCTGGGAAGTTGATGTAGATCCCGAGCCTCCGGAAAGGGCCAGCCTTGAGTGGGGTCTCTGTGTCACTGTGCCAGGCTGTGAACTCCTTTCCGTTCCAGTGAATGCTCCAGGAGAAGTTGTTTCCAGAAATGCAGCTGTTTCGTTCCTCCCCTTTACGGTCAATGCCTTTACAAGTCAAGCCAACGTAGGTGCCTCCTCCAGTGATCTCCACCTCAAAATAATACCTGTGCAGGTACAGACTCTGTTGGGACAACACCTGCCGCCAGTGCAAAAACCTGCTGGGAAGGTCCGGGTAGGGGTGCTCCCAGGGCGTGGTGTTGGTGACCTTGCGGTTGTCCTCCTGCAGGCGAAGGTATCTATGTGCCGTGTCTGGGTCAAATGTGATGTCACATGCATCTGAGGAAACATAGAAGACAGTTTTAAACCAGGCTGACCCCCAAGACATTCATGAGAATACACCCATCTTTTGGTTCTGTTTACCCAGTCTATGCTCCCCTAGGACAAGGAATAGGAGAAAACCAGTGGAGAGAACACACTCCTTTCTGAAGCTCAAGGTGTTGGCACTTGCTGTAATACCTGAACTGAATAAAGAAATTAACTCGCTCATTCATTCACAGTCTGTATACAGGAAGTCAGGAGCTGGTCTATGAATCTGGTGTGAGTTCAGAGACCCAGATCCTCATATACCTACGTTTGATCTACTAATTCATTCGTCAACCTAGCATTTAACATGGTTAGCCTTAGACACGCTATCAAGCGCCTTCTATTCTCAACCCCAAAGACTAATAATAACAGCACCACCATGCACAGCTACTCAAGTCAAACACATAATTACTTCTCATATTTCTTTTGCCCTCCTACAGTACAGACAGCAGGAGCTCCCAGAGACTCCAGTCACTCCTTTCAAGCTTCTTGCTTCACCTGCAGCTCAGCCATAAGCAACTCTTGCCTGGCATAGTGTAATAAGCTGTTAATTATTGTCCACAGTAGTAGTATTTCAAAAGGTACGTTGCAATATTACCCAAAATAATATTCAAAAAGTTTAACACATGTAAAAGCACTTGTAAAGAAAGACAAATTGGATTAGGATATGCCTAACTTTTCATTTTAAGACCAAGTGGCATTTAGTATATGGTATTATGTCTGTCTCTAAAACATAAGTATGCTTCCAACAGGAAAACAGGAGAGAACAGAGTGGGCAGAGGCCAAGACATTTAGAGTTGCAACAAGAGCAAGACATAGTTGTAAGTTTCTGGGGCCCATGTAATATCCAGAGAAAAAGGTGGGGCAATGGTTGCTCCCCAAAACCACACAGAAGCAGGCCTCAGTTGCATGTTCCAGAAGGGTGCCACAAAAATGGGCACTGACTACAAGGGTTTCTTGTGTTGGGAGGTGAAACTTGATGAATTGTTGATGACCATGAGTACTTTCTCATGGTTCTGAGTTGACATATAAGAATTTCTTATGTTTATTATACATAATATGAAATTTTGAAATAAGTATATACCATGGAATGGCTAAATCATGCTGATTAATGTTTAACTTCACATATGTCGTGCACATGACTTTTGTATATGGGTGGTGGGGATACTTGCTTTTTTCAAGTCTATAGTATGTGTTGTATGATAGGTCTCTTAAGTTATTATATCGCAAAGCACTGCTGAGAAATGTGGTACTTGTATTTGTTGTGTATAAATGTTTGCTTGTATGTATATCTGTGTACCACCTGCCTACCCAATGCCCTCAGAATCCAGAAGAGGATGTTACATCCTCTGAAACTGCAATTAGACAGTTGTGAGCTGCCACCTGGGTTCTAGGAATTGAACTTGGGTCCTCTGGAAGTGAAGCAAGTATCCTTAACCACTAAACTATCTGTCTAGCCCCTACAGTGCTCTTATTTGTGCTTAGTGTGTTCATTCATTTGGTTGGTTGGTTGGCTGGCTGGCTGGCTAGCTGGCTGGCTGGTTGGCTGGCAGGCTGGTTAGCTGGAATGCTGATTAGTTAATTGGTTGGCTGGCAGGTTGGGTAGCTAGGATTCTGGTTAGTTGGTTGGTTGGTTGGTTGGTTTTTTTGGTTGGTTGGTTGGTTGGTCAATTGGTGTAGAGTTTCACCATGTAACCTAAACTGGCCTTGAACACTCCATTCTCCTACGTTGGCCTCGTGAGTGCTGTGCTTAGAAGTTGCTAAGGTTATAGGCATGTTCTACCATGTATGGCTAGAAATACAGTGCTTTTTGAAAATGGTAACAGTTGGGCATAGGCACACATCTCTAACCATAGCACTTGAGAAACAGAGACAAGAGAAGAAAGAGTTTAAATCCAGCCTGGGCTACATACATACTGAGACACTGTGTCAAAAAGACAGTGTTCCATGGGAGGAGGCAAGCATGGGCCTGTTTCCTGCCTGCCTTTTGGTGCTCTGTTTGGAGCCTCCTGAGACCTGGGGACTGTGCATGGAGAAGAGGGGGGACACCTGCCCTGATTTTCCTTAATGATAGACTGTGTCCAGAAATTTAAGATATTTAATAAGCCCCTTTCTCCCCTAAGTTATTTTTTGTCCAGAGTGTTGTATCACAGCAACAGAAAGGAAACTAGAACACACATCTGTGTTCCTGAGTTCAGCTTTGCACCAATGTGATGGTTTGAATGAGAATAGCCTTCATAAGCTCATATACTCGAATACTTGGTCCCCAGTTAGTGAAACTGTTTGGGAAGGATTGGAAGGTGTGAGCTTGATGGAGGAGATGTGTCACTGGAGATGGGCTTTGGGGTTTCAAAAGCCCTCGTTATTCCTAGTGTCTCTTTCTCTCTCGCCTCTAGGTTATATCTCAATATGTAAACTCTCAGCTACCACTTCAGTACCATGCCTGCTTCCTGCCAAGCTCCCTGCCATGATGGCCATGGACTCTAACCCTCTGAAACACTTTATTTTGCATTTTGTAAATTGCCTTGGTTATAGTGTTTTATCACAGCAATATAAAAGTAACTAAGGCCGCCAGAAAAAGAAATCTGCAAAGTTGTTAATAACATTGCAGCAATGCTAATTCCTTGCATCATATATCATAGTTATATGTGATGTCAACATTTTAGAGAAACTGATAGATACAAATATATGATTTTTTACCCAAGTTTTACATTTTTTAATTTATTTCAGAAAGAAATTTTTCAATTAAAAACTTTAAAATACATCATTTAGGAATAGATGAGAGGCTACAAGAACCTAAATCCTCTACAAGATACCGTGGTTCTTGTTTTGTCAAGCATTCTACTGCCATCAGCATGTCAGAAGGGGCTACCTTTCACAACTTACATTGGAGAAACTCATCCCGGGTTCTGGGATCAGGTTTTACAGTCCTATACTTGCGCTGGACAACAGCAGACACTTGAGTTCTGATGTCATATTCCTCTAGAAAATCAGAGAGTTGTGAATAGCACCTGTCCAGATAGCTGGGAGAACCCAAGAAACAGGCCACCCTTCCCCAGGCTTCTGGAGGGTCTGGTGCCTGGGAACCCGGAACCTGGTCACACTCCATGTACCAGACAAACTCTGCTGGTGAAGACCCCAGACTGACAAAGAATCGACTTAAAACCCATACATCAGCATCCTGAGAAGTTAGTCATAGAAATATTGATGCAATATGACAGATGCACCTCCTTCAGGTTGCAATTATAAATTAAAGCCAAGATAACAATCATTAATGGCCTAACCAAAGAATGGCTTTGAAATGGGTCCTTTACCCTCCCTTCCTAGGTTCCCTCTTTCCTCATGACCATTCTAGAAAGCCCCTCACCTTCCTTGGCAAACTCCTGGAGCTTTTCCTTATAGCCCTCTAGCAACTGGATTAAGTGCAGGGTTGAGTCTGTGATGACCTTGCGGATGCCTGAGAGTTTATCCTTCAGCCCTATGTAAACACTGGGGAAGGCAGAATCTTCCATCTTCTTAAACTTTGAGTACTCCTGCAGAGAGGGGAACAGAACCAGGCAGCTCTTCTCATCATGTCTCTCTCTGCATCTGTGAAATGGGCTGATGGCAATGCGTGCTTCACTGAGAAAGTGCATATAAAGTGTTTTTTCTATGCTTCTAGACCCTACAAAGGAAGCAAGTCTTCTCAAAAATCAAGTGGAAAAGTGGGTTTCTTAATATCAAAAGAAATAT